GCAGTCAGAACACATACATGAAATCGATTAAGTTTGCCATCGTATATGGGTACAGTTTGTGGCATCCCAAAACAATTACAGTAGTAATATCAAGATCACTGATCACAGATACTATACAGATATAATAATAACACGTTTGAAATGTTGAAGAATTACCAAAGTGTGAAACAGAAACACAAAGTGAGCACACGCTGTTGGAAAAAATGGTGCCAATAAGCTTGCTCAAAAAAAAGATTGCCATAAACCTTCAATTGGTAAAAAAAAAAAAAATAAAATATATGAAAAGTACAGTTAAATGAGGTATTCCTGTATTATTACTATCCTTAAAATGAGGAAATTCTACATACATAAAAGAAGAACAGAATGCCATATTTTCGAATGCTATGAAAACTCAGAGAACAGAAGAACTCTTAACAATTAAAACTATGGGCTGTGTGCAGTGGCTCATGCCTGTAATCCCAGCACTTTGGAAGGCTAAAGCAGGAGGATCACTTGAGCCCAGGAGTTCAAGACCAGCCTGGGCAGCACAGCAAGACCCCAATTTACAAAAAAAAAAAAAAAAAAAATTAGTCAGGCATGGTGGCACAGGCCTATAGTCCCAGCTACTCAGGAGGCTGTGGCAAGGGGATTGCTTGAGCCCAGGATATCAAGGCTGCAGTTTGAAGAGGTTCCTTTCAAAGGCCAAGTCTGCAGTAATTTGAGCATAAAATACATGATATCATGGATTATAATCATTTAAGTAAGACAGGAATCCATGAGTCTATTCTGATTATAAATGAATGAATGAGAGGAAAAGGAAAGATTCTAATGTTGGAGGAATTTTTTTAATTGCCATTTGGCAATGATAATCCAGTCAAGAATAATCAATGGATGCAAAATCTGGGGGATAAAAGCTTGATGAACAACTGCATGACACACTTATTAACTTTATGTGAAGAAACTACCTAAAAGTGACTAAACATCACCAGTAATGGGGCAAATTGACATTATGTGCCTCTTGATATGATGCACTGAGAAGAACGTAGCATTATTCTGTAGTATTCCTGCCAAAAATGTGTAAATCATGAGGATAAATCAGATGGCCTAAATTGGAGGATAAACTCGAAGTAACTGCCCTATACTCTTAAAATAAATGTTACAGCCATGAAAGACAAGAAAGCATTCTGAGGAACTGTTTCAGATTAAAGGAGACAAAGAAACATGATGAATTCAACACATAATCCTGGATTGGCTCCTGAATAGAGGACATATTGTGATAATCAGGAAAATTGTAATGGTGTCTGTGAATTAGGTAATACTGGATCAATGTTATAATTTCCTGATTTGATATTCATACTATAGTTATGTAGGAGAGTATCCACTTGTTTTGAGAAAATACAGAAGTTTTAAAGATAATGGGGCATCATGTCTTCAACTTATTTTCAAACAGTTCAGAAATATGAATTGAATCTGGATAATCTGCGGGAGGATGTATGGGAGCTCTGTATACTATTTCTGTAACTTCTATGAACATTTTAAATTATTTCAAAATAAAATTTCTAAAACTGCTTAAAAGTATTCCTGTTACTTCAGGTAGACAATAATTTATTATAAACGGTGTTTTAATCTTTGTTGAATAAGTTCCAAATCCACCTCTAAATCCAAATGCTCTACTCTATATCCATAAGGAGTTGTTATATCTATTTTAAAATATGTACTTCTTCCCCTTTACATATGAAAGAAACTATATGAGGCCCCAAGGAAAAGGAAGGGGTGATAACAAAAGAGAAATAAACAGTCCTTTTCATTGGTTAACCTTACAATTTATTAGAGTAGGGAATTAATACATGAAAGACTACCACCATTCTCTGTTAAATATAGATATCCTATAGAAATTAACTTGCATCATGTCTACAATCATATAGCCTTATTTTAAAAGTAAAGTTAGAGTCATCTCTTCGTATCTGTGGGGCACTGGTTCCAGGACTCTGGCCCCATCTCGTACCAAAATTTTGAGATGTTCAAGTCCCTTGACATACTCTACCTAAATGGTATAGTATTTTCACATAACCTATGCAATTCCAAATACTTTAAATCATCTGTAGATTATTTATCATACCTAATACAATATAAATGCTATGTAAATAGTTGTTATATTGTTTCAAACTTTGTTTTTTATTATTGTATTGGTATTTAATTTTCTAATATTTCCAATCCACAGTTGGTTCAATCTACCAACGCAAGAACCCACAGAAAGCCAATTGTACTTTGAAATGACTTCTTTCTTAAAAGTTATATAAGGTCTTTTCTTTTCTTTTTTTTTTTTTTTTAAGAGATGAAGTCTTGCCATGTCACCAGAAGTATAGAAGTGTAGTGGCTGTTCACAGGTGCAATCATAGCACACTATAGCCTCAAACTCTTATGACTTCTTCTTATTCTTTTCCATAAGACCTTCTCGAGTTTTAAAAAAGCCAAATTAACAACAAAAAAGAGAAGTTCTTTTCAGTAATTCTAGATACTGTGAGTCTGGGTTCTATTACCTCTCATTTGCTGTCTATATATTACCTTGTCACATTAATTTTAAGTTACATAAAGGTAGAAGAGTTTTGAAAGGACACAGATTGTGACTGTAAATGTGATCCATCAAATTTAGGTGGATTTTGTGTTTGGAATATTAGCAACAGATCGCATACTTTATTAAAAAGAAATGGCCCAAGCAATCCTGCCTCAGCTTCCCACTACAGGAAGTGGGACTACAGGAACATACCACTGTGCCCAGTGCTAATCTCTTAATCACTGTTTTCTACCCACTAACTCAATACTCCTCTTGCTCAATATTCCTTTTGAATTTATTAGCTCCGCATCAGAGTTACTGCCAGTGTCCTTTGCAACCAATCAGCAACTGCCCATCTTTGCACTCTACCTATTATTGCTCTGACATCGCAAAGATCATGGCTATTCTTTACCAGTCTGAAATTATTTAAACTCATTTTAAAAATCTAATTTCCAATAGGCTTCTGATTTCCATCAGGTAATTCTTCTTGACAAAGAATATCTAAACCAAACAAGACCTCAGTAGTTCTGCCTTTCTTTTATGAAGTTCTTACTTCAAACCAATTTTAAAATCCTTTTGTGTTGATCTTGGCATGCTCCAAAAGAGATCATTCTTCATATATAGCTTACCCTTGATATATGTCCTTCCTTCTAACTGCCCTTTTAGCCTCTGAGCCAAGAGAGCTATCTAACCAGTAAAATCCAGTTTTGTTTTTTTATTTTTAAGACAACTCTTTCCTTCTCATTGAGATCATTAGAAAGCTTTTCTTTGGTTTAAATACATTTTAGATGTTATTGTTTCCTCTATACGTCTCTCATTCAGAAAGTCACAATCACATTTATAGTTTCTGGTTATGAATCATACATATCTTTGCTCTGGCCAAATCTACTTTCTTGAAGTCAACAGAATGTGTCTGCTAAGTCCTAGTACTCTCTTTACCTCCTCTTCCACTAGTTATTAATTACAACTCACAATTCAGAGTAGAAAATCTGCTTCCGGCAACCACCCAGACATCTGAAGTCCCCAGTCACCGTTATACTTTATCTCTGCAGATTTTATAGACTGAATTAGCAAGGCACATCTTCCAAACTGTCCTGCAGGTCCATTATATACTACCAAAACAATGACTTCTTTTCATTTAAGTTTTATGACTCCTCAAATCACTCTACTATTGTAGACAACCCTCAAGGTTGCACATTTTTATAAATATTATGTTCTTTCTTTTCCTTGTCCCCCTTGATAGGCCATTTCTTTTTAATAAAGTATGCGATCTGTTGCTAATATTCCAAACACAAAATCCACCTAAATTTGATGGATCACATTACAGTCACAATCTGTGTCCTTTCAAAACTCTTCTACCTTAAAAAACTTAAAATTAATGTGACAAGGTAATATATAGACAGCAAATGAGAGGTAATAGAACCAAAACTCACGGTATCTAGAATTACTGAAAAGAACTTCTCTTTTGTTGTTTATTTGGCTTTTTTAAAACTCAAGACGGTCTTATGGAAAAGAATAAGTCATAATAAGTATTGTATACCAATTATGAAAAAATTACAAGAAGTTTATTCTGAGTAAATTATCTAAAATTATGTGATCTCCTCCAACATATCATGAAATAGTCCACTGAAAGATAAACTTAAAAGAAAAAGTACAGGTATCAGCCAAAATACTAAGTAACTAATCAGGGGTACTCTGACACATGCCTGAAGAAACCAATGCCAGAAAACAAAGGCTTCTGGAAAATCTTTAAAAAATCACAGGAACACTACAAAACCCTGAAAACTAGTGACACTCATTATTGAAAACAAAGCCCAATCATTATGACTATTACTCTATCCTGTTTTTTTTTTTTTTTTTGAGATGGAGTTTCGCTCTTGTTGCCCAGGCTGGAGCACAATGGCGCCATCTTGTCTCACTGCAACCTCCGCCTCCCATGTTCAAGCGATTTTCCTGCCTCAGTCTCCCGAGTAGCTGGGATCACAGGCATATGCCACCATGCCCGGCTAATTTTGCATTTTTAGTAGAGACTGGGTTTCTCCATGTTGGTCAGGCTGGTCTCAAACTCCTGACCTCAGGTGATCTGCGTGTCTCAGCCTCCCAAATATTACACTATCTTTCAAAACTAAAGGTTGTTCAGCCAGATATTGATGATAACCCACTCAATAATTTCGTAACGACTGCCAGAGTGATTTGCAGAAGTTCCCTGTAATGGTTTTTACTTTCTTGCTTTGCTAAAATGTGAAGATGGTACGCAAACCTTTTTGAATGAAAAGCTGCTTAAATATAAAGTAACATTTTTCTAGCAAACTATCTTAAAAGGAAAACTGTCACTATGTCAAATGAATTTTATAGGCAATCAGTTAATTTAAGTAAACACAATAAATATCAATAGTCCTGTTTATCATAAGTAGAGACTTTCCCATTTACCATTTCTCTCCCCAGGACAAATTAAAATAGTTCTTACCTAATTCATAGAGATGCCCATCTACATGAACTAATGCAATAAAATGAAGATCTACTTTTTCATCTATATTTGGTGCCTGGAATAGGAGGGAAAAAATAGGTATTATATACATTAGTTGTCAAACAAATCAGTCATGTATATATAAACATATGCAAATAACATCAAGTTATAAAAGAGAACATTTATCCAATATAATTCAAGGCTTAATGTTTGGTATAACGGACAAAGAGGGACCATGCCTGTGTTTGCGACAATGTGCTCATTTATCAGCAAGGAAAACAGTGACTAAAAGTACAATTTTCTTAATCTCAACTACCTAAAAACCAAAAATTGTGTTCACCTTAGAAGCCTCAGCATTTAGCACAATGCCTGGTATACAGCATATGCACAATGCATACTTATTGAATGAAATGAATACATGAACTGATATGTATGAGTTTTTAAAATTTGAAATAAGAAAGTTAAAATATTTTTACGCCTAACAGTTTAAAGAAACCCTTTTCAAGTTAAATTTTAAGATGTCAAAAGAGATGTTCCCTTAAAGACTTGAACTCGATAATCTGATGTTTTAACAGTGCAGTGTAAACAGTCTTTGCGTAAAAGAAGCATTTTAACTCACTCTAGATTTTAAACATTTAAAAATGAATACATGCAGGAAAATAGCCCAGGCGATTAAAAGGAAGGGAAAAAAGAATAAATTAAAGTACAATTCACAGTAGCCTACGATTTTTCTCTTGCTTTGATGCTTAATAAACAATTTGAAATTAAGACTACATCTACGTTTCTTTAGCTTACCAATCAATTTGCCTGAGAAATATCTACATTTCTAAGGCATTCAAAAAACATACACAAAGTCGATACATTGATTAACTGGCACTTTCTATGATATGTAGTAACTATACAGCTAATATTAATATGAGTTAGCTATACATCAAATCTAAATGGTTTGAAATGAAATACAATCACTGTTAAATATGCAAGTAGAGCACAAATTTTAAAGGAAAGTTTTCAAAAGGCATAAATCAAATTATATCTCAGATTACTTAATATCCTTGCAGTAACAGATAGTATCTTAACTAAAAAATTTTATTCTTTTCATCCTCAAGTAACTATATATTTTCAAGTAGTTGTAATATAAAGTTTTCTGATGCAGATATTGAAAGGTACAGAATAAATATTACTATCTTGGATTTACAGAATGTTTCTAAAATATTTATATATACAGTGTCTCACCTAATCTCACATTATTCTTCAGAGGTTATATCCCTCAAATTATGAATGGAAGAAATTCAACATAAACTGATGTGGCAAGCCAGTTCTTCTAGCGTCACTCTAGAACTACAGAATTCCACAGGTGTTAGCAATCAGGGTTATCTAGTTTTACTATTGCTCCAATACTGCACTTCTCCATCTTGTGGTAGCCCCTCTAATTGTTGCTTCAACACCACATAGCCCCATCTTGTGGTAGCCCCTCTAATGTCAGAGGCTCCTCCACTAGGTTTTGAGGCAGTCCATTTCATTGTTAGACAGTTTTGTTAGAATTTTCCCTCATACTGAGGCTAAATATGTCTCCTTGTATTTTCCATCATCTTAGAAAAAAGTCTAATCCCTCCTGAACATATTTCTTCAAATATGTGAAGACAGTGATAATGAGTTCCCTTACTTTCCTGGTCAGGGAATCAAAAAATATTAGTGGCCACACAATCTAATATCTCCACTTATAAATAATCAGAAGAGAAACCAATTTTTCAAGTCTAAACCTAGGCAATTACATAAACCGTAACTTTAATTCTATAACAAAAAGGTTATAATGAATTATTCATTCAACTAGAAAACAGTCTTGTCTTTACTCATTTTAAGACAATTTTCCAACAGGATATGAAATACTCTAAATCTTACAAACTTTATGCTTTCATAAATTATTAGTTACCTTAATACCATCTCTTTTTAAGAATTACACATCTTATAGCTTCTATGTTTCATATTGTGCCAGTAACTACAACCATGCTAGAGGTAAAAGTAGTACAAGTGGAGTCAGAGAACTGAATATGGACCCAATCCCTGTAAGCCTCGGGTTTCTTATCCATCTCAAGGTTTAAATGAGCTGCATGAACGTATTTTGTAAACTGTTAAGTGTTATATAAACCTTATGTATTACTCCAATAATAATACTACAGTATCGCAAATGTAAGCAATTACCAAATGTAGTGACTCAAAATTGTGCATCATTGTACCTTTAACCTAAAAGTGTATACTAAAAATATAAAATTCTAAAGAGGGCACGAAAAGCCTTCAAACTATTATAAAAGATAAGCAAAGCTCAAAACTTCTAAGCCTTCCACAAAACCTCAGAACCTGTGATAAGCCTTTTCCTTCGGTCAGCTTCAATTAGTCTCAGAGTCTAAAAATCTGTAATTATTTAATTGCTTAAAATTATTCCACTAAAAACAAGAAAAATAAATAAAAAGCAACTTTCAGCAAGTCTTGTTTCAAAAAATGACCAAGAAATAACTACGTGAAGGGCAAAAAAAAAAAAAAAGTTATAGATTGGATTTTTTTTCCTTCATATATCCGTATATATGAAGGAAAAATTAAAATTCCTCTTTACATCCAACCACCACTTTGGCTTTGAAGCTGCCTCCTGATATTGACACTTCAAAGATGTAGTATGACTATTCTTATATGTCTCTATCTACTGATGAGGATCCCACTCTTTTAGTATAAACAGTACCACTGACTTCCAATCAATTAGTTTTGATACATATAATCCCTAATTTAGAATGCAACACTTCTTAGTTAACTCAAAGAATTAAAAAGTGATAACAAATCAATTAGATATAAATTAAATACTAAATATAAACATCACATTAAAATACACACTAAATTTAATGCATAATTGTATAGCACTTAATATATACCAGGCACTGTTCTAAATGTTTTATATGTATCAAATAATTAATCATCATACTGGTTGAGCATCCCAAATCCAAAAATCTGAAATCTGGAATGCTCCAAAACTCCAAACTTTTTGAGCACCAACAGGATGTTCAAAGGAAATGCTAACTGCAGCATTGTGGATTTCAAATTTTCTGGCTTGAGATACTCAACCAGGTAAGTCTAATATAAATAATCCAACCAAAATCCAAAACACTTCTCATCCCAAGCATTTTGGATAAGACATACTCAACCTGTATAAACCCAATAAGGTACATAATATGATTATGCCCATCTTACTCTCGGGAAAACTGAGGCACAGAAGCATTAAGTAACATGCTCTAGGTCATATAGCTAGTAAGTGGTAGAATATGGATTCAAACCCAGGCAGTGTGCTTCTAGGAATCCATGTTATTTACTACTATGCTATGAAAATATTCAAAGCTATAAGGCAACGGAATTAATATGGAGCCAAGATCAACATTATATAAAAGCATATAAAACAGGAAATGCCAAATTTTATATGTTCATTTATATTTGGAACATTTTTAAGTAGAAAAGAAATAATTCACATTAGAATTAGATCAATTGTGCTCATGTCAGAATTTACACCTTTAGGATTCTACCCTGGTCATCTAATTCACCTTGTATCTCTCACTGTGCCAAATGGCATATGGCACGGTAGAGAAGCAACAAATATCAAATGGATGAATAAATAAAAATGAAGAATGTCATGACCCAATGAGGATAGTGAAACAGAAAGAGAGAGATGCCAGTTTGTTGATACTCAGTACAAATGGAGAAGTATTTGATGATCATACTGGTATTTGGTGGAAGCAAATATTTAAGGAAAGATACCACTTCACAGTTTGAGTACAGCACTAGAAGGGTAAGGGGAAGGAAAGAATGCTTGACATTGACTTTTAATTGTTCTTAAGCATTAAATGTATGTGTAGTCAGACTTCCTCCTCTGGCTTCAAAAGCCATCACGATTTATAGAAATGTCAAATTTCTTATAAATGTATGGCACACACCAAAGTTTTAAGATACTGCATTTCTAGGGAGGCTCTGCTAAACCACAGTCATTGCCTTTAGTAGTCCAAAACATTAGAAAGACAAGAGCTATAGTTGCTTAATTCTGTAGTGTATCATAGCTAGAATTCCATCATCGATCTCGACACTTAAGATAATTAGTAAGATTATAAGAAAAATGTATTTTTAATAGTTTGTGGATATCATTAGCCTATAAAAGAGAAATCATAAATTTGTGGGAAGCTTACATCAATACACAAGGAGGAAATCTTCATTTCCTACTTGGAAAAGATCTTTAGAAATTGAATAGGCAGGAAAGATCAGATCAAGATTAAACCAAGTACCTGAGCCACCTCAGGGAATAAAATAATAGCTTAGATGAAACACCCTACACCATGAAGGATTTAGGTTGAGAATAGAGTAAGCAAAGTAATCCCAGAGCATGGCAAGAGACTAAAGTCATGCTCAGAAACATTAAAAAAAAAAAAAAAAAAAGTAATAGCTGGCAAAGAACTCAGAAGGTACACAGCATTTGTTGACCTGAGTCAACTAAATGATTTCAGAAAGCTGAAGGGTAAGAGAACCCATATTCACTTTAACAATTAACTAGACTTCAACATTATCACGAACATGGATCAGTACTCATCAAAACGCAGGCGCCACTATTTTGGCAGGATATGGAGTGGAAAGATGGATGTTGCAGGCACTGGCAAAAGTCAAGCTAGACTGCAAAGCATAGAGGTGTGCTTGCAATCTTATTGGGGGAGAAAAAAGCTAATGGTTGAGTGAACCAAGAGAAAAGCACTCTGAAGACTGAAGTTGTTTAAGGAAAAAAAAAAAAAAAAAAGGACAGCCCTTGTCACTGGAGAAGAGATGGAAGATTGACTAAACTTACAACAGAATGGAGACCCAAAGATGGTAGGCGTAAGAAGGGTCGCCAGCGACGAAGACGGAGAGATGGACTGGTAGCCTTTGCAGGGCCTACATGGTAACGTTTGACCCAGGGCAGGGATGCATGGTGACACAATGATGAGGCCTTCGTTCTGCAGTGGCTAGAATGAGGCTGTGATGAGGATGGCGAGGAGGACTACATAATTAAAAAAGAGAATATTTTACTTAGACCACGTTACTGGGTGATCATTTATTCTTAAAAGCAACGTCTGGTCATGCTTGTAATTCATATGGTCTACTAGTTTTAATAACCATAATCTAGCAAAGGATCATATATGAATATTGGTTAAAAGCAGGTAAAGTGGAAATATATAACCAAGTATCAGGTTATATGCCATAGTTCTATAAGTGTACATTGGAAATATTCACATAGCCTCATTTGCATAGCACAGACTCATGGAAATACTTAAAAGCCACTAAAATTATTACATCAAATTGTTTTTAAAAAGTAACACACACACAAAAACTAGGTAATGCATATAAAATGTACAAAGAATAATGGGTAGAAGAAAACTATATGGTGATAGGCATTGCTAAAAAAGAATTCCTTAAAAGGAATAAGCTCCAAGAAGAAAAAAAAAAAACAACTTTAAAATATAAACAAGAGTGAAATTAATCCCTCCAAAGCTGACGACCTGAATAAACTATCCTCCTACTTAGGCTGATACGTTACATGGAAAACATCATGGCCTCTTAGCTATCTTTTAGGAAACGATATCATTAAATAAAATACACATCTTTTTTATGTCAGGTGCTTTTTAAGGACTTAACATATATCAGTTCATTTAACCTCCCAATAACCCACAAGCACAACTATTCCTGTTATACAAGTGAGGAATCAGAGCACAAATGGGTTAAGTAACATAACTAAGGTCACACTGCCAGCAGGTAACAGAACTGGGATTCAAACCCAGGAAATCAGGTTCTAGAGTCCAGTGATCTTAATCACTGTGGTGTATAGCCGAAGTGACCAAGAAAAATATGTTATTGCTAAATGGAACAGATAGTGTTAAGGAGAGAAACCATTCTGATAATGTTAGGGTATTTTGGGAATCACCTTTTCAAACACTATTGTACCACAAAAGGCAAATCTAGCCAAGAGTTTTCTACAAAATATACAAGGATATAACATAATAGTAGTAATCCAAATGATTTCATAATTGTCACATTCGATTAATAACACCAGTATATAAAATAAAAAATTTGAGGGAGTATGACAAAATTACAATCACTATAATCATAGTGAGAAGAAATAAAAAGAATGGTAATATAAATCCTCACTTGGTGATAATAGATTTTGCTAACCATAACAACCATAATAGATTTCTCTTAAGGAAAATGAGTTTTACTTTCCGAATGATTTTTAAAACTCTTTTCAACTCTGAAAATTCTCTAATCCTACTTAGTATTCTCAATCTAAATAAACAATATACTAACCTTAAAAAAAAGCTATCGTTTTGATGGGGGTTTAAAAAATATGTTCGAACATTTTAGCTGCTCATAATAAGCATCAGTCAATCAAAAATACATAAATGAATTCTATACTTGGTTCTACATGGGAACAAAAGTGTATATGATAGTGTCTCCTCTCACAGACATAATTTAATCAGAAATTAATTAGTAATATTACTAAACCAGAGTTGTACAGTGAAAGAATATATAAAGTTGGGATGGGTGAAATAGGAAAATATTCTTGGCAAAGAATTCAATGTGAGAAAAAGAACAGAAATAGAAATAAGGAAGACATGTTTAGAAGAGTAATGTGTCAGGTCTGAAATTTGAGTTTATTCTTTCAATTTAATAAGTTAGCCTCTTACTTTTTCATGGATATTGGCAAAAGGCATGAGACGCCTGGGTCAGAGAAAAAAAAAAAAAAAACTTTATTACTCATAGCACAGCAAGGAGCATGATCATCAATACGTTTGTGCCAATTCACATGAGAACAACAGACATAGCTAGGGTGGATGGCTGCAAAAGAGTAGGCTGCGTTACAGGAGAGGAACACTGAGCTGGGGAAACCACTGGTTTACAGCAAGCAGTAAGCAAACAGGCTCTTTGTTCCGGAGGCAAAGACATTACCTCATCCCTTAAGGTTGCTTACTCCAAACACACCTGTGAGAAATGTGATTTCCACCTTCAAGTATGATGACCCTCTTCTTTTGTCATTTTTGAAGAACCTTTTTGAAAACTTTTTTTAAAAAAAAATTTCAAATTTACAGTTACAAAAACAAGCATAATACAGGAAACACCTAGATTTTGACTATGACATTTTACCTTCATTTGCTTTATTATCTCTTTACCTTTTTCTACATAACTTTTTTTCCTGAATCATTTGAAGATAAGTTACATACATCATGGCCCGTTAATCCTAAATTCTTCAGTATTTCCTAGGACTAAGGGAATTATCTAACATTAATATCAGTGCAGTTATCACCCTCAAAATTTTATATTGATATAATACTTTCTCCTCATCTCCCATATTTTAATTTTGCCAGTTATCTAGTTGTGTAATTTACAGCATTTTCCCCCAGGATCTAATCTAAGCACAGATATTAAATTTATTCATCATGTCTCCTTAGTATCTTTTAACCTGGAACATTATCTTTTATATTTTAAGCATCAAGCCCTTCTCCATTTTTCAACAAATCATTTTCTATTTAAAAAGTCATGCTCTCTGTGACTAGAGACTGCTTTACTTCTCCCTCTTTAAACAATATTTCCTTTATTTCCTTTACTTGCCCTACTATATTGGCTAGGACTTCTACTACAGTAATGAATTTCATTGACTTCTGCTTTTATCTTTGTTATTTCTACCTTTTAAACGCACTTCGGATTTAACCTGCTCTTCTTTTGCTACCTTAAGGTAAAAACGTAGATCTCTGACTTGAAGCCATTTCCCTTTTCTACTATAAGCATGTAATACTATAGTTTCCCTAACCCGTTTTTTTTTTTTTTTCCTACTATAAGCATTTAATGCTATAGATTTCTCTCCAACCCCTGCATTAGCTGTATCCTGTCAATTTTGGTATACTTCTTTTTAGTCAATTCAAAATGTTTTCTAATTTCTCTTGTGAAATCCTCTTTGATCCATGAGTTATTCAGAAGTGTACTATTTAATATCTAAATATTTGGGGGATTTTCCAGGTATTTGTCTGTTGTTGATTTGTAGTTTAACTCCACTATGAATAGAAAACATTCTTTGTATAATTTAAATTTTTTTAAAAAATTTAAAGTTGATTTTCTAATCCAGAATATGGTCTATCCTGGTAACTATTTCATGTGCACTTGAGAAGACTGTATATTCAACTATTCTGTTTCAAATTTCTGAAGTGTTCCACAAATATCAAAAGGGTCCAGTTGTTTGACAATGTTGCTGAAATCTTCAATTTTTTACTAATGTTCTGTATTTGTTTTATTCATTCTGAGTGCTGACATCTTCATCTATAATTGTGAATTTGTCCATTTCTCTCTTCAGTTCTAACAGTGTTTGCCTCATACATTTAGAGGTTCTAACTGTTAGCTGCATACACATACTTTGTTATGTGTATGCTATGTCTTCTTGGTGAGGTAACCTCTTTATCCTTACATAATGTCCTTCTTCATCACTGAAAATATTCCTTGTTCTGAAGTCTACTTAACTTCATGTCAATATAACTACTGTGGCTTTCTTTTGATTAGTGTTTGTATTGTTCATCTTTTCCCATCCTTTTGATTGTCACCTTCTTACGTTTTTTAAAGTGACTTTCTTGTAAACAGCCTATAATTGTGTCTTGCTTTTTTACCAAACTGGTCTTTCTTTCAATTTGAGGGTTTATAGACATTTGAGTCTTTATATTGACATTTCATTAACTTCATGTGATGTTTTATATGGCTGGATTTAAATCTACATTGTCAGTTCTTTATTTTTTCCATCTGGTCTGTTACTTTTCTGCTTTTTGCATTATTTCTATCATTCCATTTTATCTGTACTGTGGGCTTCTTGTTTATACTTTTTAAGCTTTTCAGTAATTGCCCCAGGATTTACAAGATATACCTTTAGTTATGGAGTACCTTCAAATAGTATTACACCACAACATATATAGTATAAGAACCTCACAACAGTATTATCCCAATTTCTCCCTCCCTTCCTTTGTGCTATTGTCTTATTTTATATGTGCTATAAATTTACAGTACATAGTTGCTATCTTTGATTTAGTAATCCTTATCATCTTCTAGAGAAATTTAAAACAAGAATAAAATTTATTTTATATTTACCTTCATTTGTTCCATTTTCAGTGCTTCCCAAATCTTTGTATAGCTCCAAGTTTCCATCTGGCATTGTACTGTTTCAGCATAATGAAATTCCTTTACATTTCTTATAGTGCAAGTAAGCTGGTGATGAGCTCTCTCAGTTTTTGTTTGTCTCAAAGTTTTTATTGTTAAAATATATTTTTGTTCCATTGAACTCTTAGCTTTCTAAAAATATCATTCTTTTCTGGCTTGCATAACTTCTAGTAAGGAGTCTGCTGTAATTCTCATGAATTCTTAGTATCTACTCTGTCTTTATCATGTGGCTGCCTTGAACATTTTCCATTTATCTTTGTTCTTCAGCAACACTTTCCATTTATTTTTGAATTTTAATATGTCTCAGTGGTTATATGTGTGTGTTTGTTTTTTTGGAGGATAAAGGTATTCATCCTATCTAGTGTCTCTGAGATTCCTGAAGCTGTGGTTTGACGTCTTTAATTACTTTTGGAAAATAGTTGCCATTACCCTTCAAATACTTTTTGTCTCAAGGCCCCACCCCTCACCCACTCCCACCCCCATCATATCTTTCCATCTCTCTTCTCCTTCTGGGATTCCACTTTCACATATTACATCACTTGAAATTGTCCCACAGCGTTTGGATGCACTGTTTGTTTTGTGTGGTTTTTCTCCCCCTTTTCCACTACTTTTTCCCCTTTGTGGGTAAGTTTGGGTAATTTCCAGTGATTTATCTTCACAGTCACCAATTCTTTTGTCAACTTTGTTGAGTCTACTGGTGAATCTGTTAATGGCATTCTTCATCTCTAGTACTGTGTTTTTCATTACTGGCATTTCCATTTGATTCTTTCTTATGTTAATAGTTTCCAATTCTGCTGATACTACCCATGTGAT